CAAGATTTTTTCAACTCAAAATCAATGTAATTGTAAAGCCAGTGACATGATATGCATCATTGCTTCTGAAGTGGCCTTTTAAGTCCAAATTTTATGAGGTCTTCATTTGTGAAAGCAGGTATAGTGAGTGGTAAGCAAAACTAATTTTTTTTTTTTTTTTTTTTTGAAAAATTGCTTCTTGGATTGTATATATATTTTCAAGAAAAATTTTCATGACATTCAATTTTTTCTGATTTTCCAACAAAATTGGAAACTAATTTGGGTTTTTGGTTTGAACAGAATGGTATCAACATGAATATTTTTCAGTTTGGGGTTTTTTCTCCTACCCTTTCTTTCTTTCTGAATCCTCAAAAGAGAGAAAACCCCCACCCCCCCCCAAAAAAGAAAACAAAAAAATATGCTTGTTTTGATTCCATTTGATTTGAAACTAAACAATTTTTTGTCTGAAATAGATTCGCCAACAAAAAATAAAATCAAAAATCTGTGAAACATTTTGATCAAAATGAAAAATGTTCATTTCATTCCAAGTTTTTCACAATAAATAATTTCCAGTCTTTAAGCAGACCCTAATGATTAGTTTTTACAGATTTGGAAAAGAGCTAATGAGAGCTCTGGGAAGGAAACAAATGACAATAGAGAAAAGATACATGTTTTAAGTCTTTTCTGTGTGTTTGAAAATTGGTGTAATTGTCAAAGAAGTCAGCTGTCCGTCCCTCACAATTTTGAGCAAACCAAGACTGAATAAAATGAAAATCTAGTACTTACCTGAATTACATATTTCTTGTAAAGTTAAATTTGTTCTTTGAACTCCCACATTACTACATTTTAAAATTTTGCCTTGAACATTACATTTAGAATTGATTCCACATTCCCCAGAAACACTACCATGGAAATCAGCAAACTGCCCTCTACAATATATTCTGACCTGAATAGCTACTCTGGTAATAGAGACATAACAGCAATCAGGAAACCCTAGCAAACCAGGAAAATGGCATTACCCATCTAAAAGAAACTGAGTATCATGACTGCTGCTTCATCTATTCATCTAGTGCTGCCTAGTCAGTTTTTAAAACAAACTGAAAAGATTTTTGAGTGTTTTATATTAATGGCATTTTCATTTAGGAAAAATGTCTTTAGTAGGTACAATAAATACAAAATCTTATTAAATATACAAAAAGTGCTGAATATCTTTTTGTTATACTTTATCGTGTTTCCCATAGTTACAGTGGCTTCTATTTCATTTTAACTGCTTTTCATAGAATTGTAGGACTAGAAGGGACCTCGAGCGGTCTTCTGGTCCCTGTCCCCTGCACTCAATGCAGGACTAAGTATTATCTAGACCATCCCTGAGAGGTGTTGGTCTAACCTGCTTTTATGTCATTTGTTAACGTTAATCAATTTCCTTTTAATTTTCCCCTCTTTATTGCCAAATAAAAGGGCCTATCTTTTATAAAACTCAAAGAGGAAGACTCCAGTGCATCTTCCTGCGTACTTGTGCAGTCAATGTTTTCTAATTTAATCCTCCACAAAATCTTTATGCTCTAGATATATTTTTAGAAAAGGAAAGAACTAGAGTTTTCACCAAAGGAAATAAAAGGAACATACATTGTAAATACTTTTCATTTTGATTTTCTCTTTGAATGACACTACAAAGTTCATTACTGAATGAGATGCAAAAAGTTATTAATACTTTAGAGACTTGGAAAAGATACTACTGTGTTTAGCAGGATGATCACAATATTTCACATACAACTTTTTAAAATTTCCCTATGTTCCTCTCCACAAACATATCTTAAGTGTGTACAAAAACATAGTCAAACTTCTGATCAATAGGGGTTCTGTCAATGTATAAAATGCATTTCCCCCTAGTAAACAGAACATCGCTATATGAAGTTCTACAATAGGGCAATTAACCCCCCAAACACTTATCAAAATAAATAAACTGAACTACTAAACAAAAAAAACCAGACAATCCCGAGTTCACATTTTGCCCTACATCTTTTAACATAAAAGAGGAAATATTAAAAAACACAGAAAGCAAACACATCCTTTAGTAAATCTCTCTCACCACTGGGTGCCACTCTTGCTCTGTATAAAACAAGATGCCTAACATTAAGTCAATCTCTTTTTGCAGCTTTAAACAATTAGAGTTCTTTTAAAATAGCAGAGAAAGTAAAGACAGTAAAGTGCCAACAAAATGTTTCATATTCAGTTTTCTAACCAATGCCTTACTATCTTCAGTGAAGACTTTCCAAAGCCTTCTTACTGTTGCTACTACTAGTGGAGTTGCCGTAGGGATAGCAATGGTGAGAATTTTTAAGGGGGAAAATTGAATGTAGTGCAGAAAAATCCTTATGGTATTAACTTGTTTTTTCAGTTAAATTATGTTATGATGTAATTAATCAGACAATGTCTAAGTCCTACTATTCAAAGAAATACACATCTATCTTATGTATTTAGATGGTATTATAAGCATCTCACAATCTTTTAAAATGTATTTATCCTCACAACACCGCTCAGATACAGGGAAGTACTAGTATCCCCTTTTTACAAAGGGGGATTGGAGTCTCATAGGCTAAGTGCCTTGTCCAAGGTCACACAGGAAGTCTGTGGCAGAGAAGGGAACTAAACCTAGGTCTCCTGAGTCCCAGGCTAACACCACTGCACTGCTACTGGACCAACCTTCCTTCCATTATTATTTAATTCCTTTAAAATATTCATTTTAACTGTACTGATGGTCTCAAAAACTTGTCACTTGTGTTATTGTTTGTTACAGTGTAACAAGCAAACATCTCAATGGGTGCCTGTTACTTTCCACATACATTCTACTAGCACGGGTCTACTTCTCATATGCCAGTTTATTAGAATAAAAATATTTACTGCACTTCTCTATGAATGAAGCTGTTATCAAACACATGAAAGACACCGTGAATACTAGCATTTAGCATCTGTCAAGGAGTTTTATTCCTAGTAAGTATTATTAGAATGAAGAATAATTTGAGAAACTGAAGAAGAAGATTCTTTTCAAAGACACTTCTCAGACATAAGTCAGTTAGACTACAGACTGAGGAATCTGTACAATAGGAACAGTTCTCCCTGTTTCTGTGTCCCAAGCACATATGCACCATATGCATATATTCATGCAGTAACCTTATTGTGATAAATGAAGGGGGCAGGGGGAAGCTCCCTTTTATGAACACCCAGCCAGCCAGTTAGCTATAAAGTCCCTCTTGGTGGCTGTTCTCTGCTTGCTTTACCTGTAAAGGGTTAAAAAGTCTCCCTGGCTAGGTAAAAGAAAGACAGTGGGCACCTGACCAAAAGAACCAATGGGAGGGCTCGAACTTTTTAAAATTGGGAAAAAACTTTCCCTTTGTCTGGTTGTTATTGTTCTCCAGAGAGTGGAGACACAGAGCAGCAGTGCTGTAAGCAGCTTTAAAACAAAGTATGAAAAAGCATCAATTCATACCTCAACCCTACTTATCTGAAACCCCAAATATGTAAGTAATCAGGGAATGTCTAGAAAGACACGATTAAGGTTATTTCTTTTATTTCTTATTGGCTTGTGGACTCCTCTGTGCTAACCCCAGATGCTTTTGTTTTGGCTTGTAACCTTTAAGCTGAACCTCAAGAGAGCTATCTTGATGCTTAATTTTTGTAATTGTTTCTTTTAAGATCTAGCAAAAAGCCTAAGTTCCAAATGTATTTCCTCTCTTTTTGCGTTTAATAAAATTTACCTTTTTTAAGAACAGGATTGGATGTTTGGGGGGGGGGTCATCTTCCTCTGCAGCATAGGGAGCAGGTCACAGGCAGGTTGCACTAGTGTAAATGGTAAATTTTCTGTAACTTGAAGTCTTTAAACCATGATTTGAGGACTTCAGTAACTCAGCCAGAGGTTAGGGATCTATTATAGGAGTGGGTGGATGAGGTTCTGTGGCCTACAAAGTTCAGTAGGTCAGACTAGATGATCACAATGGTCCCTTCTGTCCTTAAAGTCTATGAGTCTATATGTTGTTTAATTAGCTGGTGGCAACAGCTGATTTCCTTTGTTTTTCTTTCTCAGCTCTTCCCCGGAGGGTGGGTGAAAGGGCTTGAGGGTACCCCACAGGAAGGAATTCCCAAGTGCGCCTTTCTGGTTTCAAAGGGGTTTTTTGCATTTGGGTGGTGGCAGCATCTACCCATTCAAGGTCAGAGAGAAACTGTAACCTTGGGAGTTTAATACAAGCCTGGAGTGGTCAGTATTAATTTTTAGAATCCTTGCGGGCCCCCACCTTCTGCACTCAGAGTGCCAGAGTGGGGAATCAGCCTTGAAACTTATGAATTCAAAAGAGATGGGTTATATGTGGTTGGGAGCAAATTCTTCTGACCCGATCAACACAAGAGAACTCCAAAGGAATTTGAAATACAATTTTGATATAAAACTCTAACAGTGTAAGTCAGCTGAATTGATAATGCTCATTTAAACTTTTCTATAGTCTACTGTAGATTTAGATACAACTTTTATAGAAACACATCTACGTAAACACACACATCCCTAATTACACAAACTACTTTTATTTTTTTATATATATAAACCTAAAGAACAAGGAATGGGACAATAAGCTGGGGAAGAAGCTTCTCACTCTGCTTTAGCAAATGAAAGACAGGAAACATGGACAGTTAGAGGGGTGGAGACCTTAACAAGGCAATTGATGGAACGTTCAGATTTGAAGTTGAGATACAAACACCCCCCAAAAGTTTACTGCTTGCAATAGATTGGTAGCTCAAGCAGCATAGCTTGCTATTCCTACAGTGAGGATCTGCAGAGATTTGCATGAGGGAGAATTTATGCAACACTGCCCAAATTAAGAAGCAATTATTATCCTTTACTATCTTTAGACTAACGTTTCCTAGCCGTTTCCTGGGAAACGTCCCAGTTCAGTGTGAATCTACTGAATATACATCTTTTAAAAAGTTGGCACTGAATGCAAAAAGGGATTCATTTTATAAAATTACATTAATACCTGTACTCGGGCTGTCGACTTATGGAATAGTCTTCCCTTGGCCATCTGTATCCTGGGTCCTCCTACAACATATGAAGAAGAGATGGTTATATGAAGTTTAACATAAGAACGGCCCTACTGAGTCAGACCAAAGGTCCATCTAGCCCAGTATCCTGTCTTCCGACAGTGGCCAGTGCCAGGTGCCCCAGAGGGAATGAACAGAACAGGTAATCATCAAGTGATCCTGTCGCTCATTCCCAGCTTCTGGCAAACTGAGGCTAGGGACACCATTCCTGCCCATCCTGGCTAATAGCCATTGATGGACCCATCCTCCATAAATTTATCCAGTTCTTTTTTGAACCCCGTTATAGTCTTGGCCTTCACAACATCCTCTGGCAAGGAGTTTCACAGGTTGACTGTGCATCGGGTGAAGAAATACTTGCTTTTATTTGTTTTAAACCTGCTACCTATTAATTTCATTTGGTGACCCTAGTTCTTGTGTTATGAGAAGTAGTAAACAACACTTCCTTATCTACTTTCTCTACATCAGTCATGATTTTATAGACCTCAATCATATCTCCCTTTAGCCGTCTCTTTTCCAAACTGAAAAGTACCAGTCTTATTAATCTCTCCTCATACAGAAGCCGTTCCATATCCCTAATCATTTTTGTTGCCCTTTTCTGAATCTTTTCCAATTCCAATATATCTTTTTTGAGATGGGGTGACCACATCTGCACACAGTATTCAAGATGTGGGAGTACCATGGATTTATATAGAAGCAACATGATATTTTCTGTCCTTTTATCTATCTCTTTCTTAATTATTCCCAGCATTCTGTTAGCTTTTTTGACAGCCGCTGCACATTGAGTGGATGTGTCCAGAGAACTATCCACAATGACTCCAAGATCTCTTTCTTGAGTGGTAACAGCTATTTAGACCCCATCATTTTATATGTATAGTTGGGATTATGCTTTCAAATGTGCATTACTTTGCATTTATCAACATTAAATTTCACCTGCCATTTTGTTGCCCAGCCACCCAGTTTTGAGAGATCCTTTTGCAGCTCTTCGCAGTCTGCCTGGGTCTTAAGTATCTTTAGTAATTTTGTATCATCTGCAAATTTTGCCACCTCACTGTTTATCCCTTTTTCCAGATCATTTATCATGTTGAATAGGACTGGTCCCAGAACAGACTCCTGGGGGACACCACTATTTACCTTTCTCCATTCTGAAAACTGGCCATTTATACCTACCCTTTGTTTCCGATCTTTTAACCAATTACCAATCCATGAGAGCACCTTCCCTCTTATCCCGTGGCAGCTTACTTTGCATAAGAGCCTTTGGTGATGGACCTTGTCAAAGGCTTTCTGAAAATCTAAGTACACTATATCCACTGGATCCCCTTGGTCCACATGCTTGTTGACCCCCTCAAAGAATTCTAGTAGATTGGTGAGGCATGATTTCCCTTTACTAAAACCATGTTGACTCTTCCTCAACAAATTATGTTCATCTATATGTCTAACAATATTGTTCTTTATTATAGTTTCATCCAGTTTGCCTGGTAGTGAAGTCAGGCTTACAGGCCTGGAATTGCCGGGATCACCTCTGGAGCCCTTTTTTTAAATTTGGCGTCTCATTAGCTATCCTCCAGTCATCTGGTACGGAAGCTGATTTAAATAATAGGTTACAGACTACAATTAGTAGTTCTGAAATTTCACATTTGAGTTCCTTCAGAACTCTTGGGTGAATATCATCTAGTCCTGGTGACTTATTGCTGTTTATTTTATCAATTTGTTCCAAAACCTCCTCTAATGATACCTCAACAATATAGATGTATGATACAATTAGGAATAAATAAAACTTGGTTACTATCTACCATGTTACAAAAGCATTTAATAGATTTATAGGACGGAATTTTAAAAAAATCTTTCAGAGACATTTTCTCCCACTATTTGTCCATTTTTCCCCACCCTGCTCACTTTCTTCAAGACCACCCATACACACTCATTCTTCTCCTCTCTTCACACCAAAAAATTGTAATATTATATACTGTGAAAAGTAACAATATTAAATCCAAATCAGGACTGAGTCTCAACAATAAGTAATCTTTATTGTGCCATTTTAGCAATAATGGGAAAACTGCTAGCTTGAAATTTTGTATATTTCAAATTTTTGAATAAGACAGGGAGGTACCTGTTTTTCAGAAATTATCACTGATTTTGTATCCACAAGAGCAGGCATACATGATTGTGACTCATATCACGGAATTCAACTATGTATTACTGCCCTTGCAAATCAGGAGGCTAGATGGACAAGTGCCAGAAAATGAACTGCATTTATTTGAGCCCATTAACTTGCACATACAAGCATCTGGGATGTGTGGAAGAACTCTCCAAACCACTTATAAGCTCTCCACCTCAAACCCATGTAGGAGAATGGGCGAGGAAAAGGAAAGACAGACAAGGCTTCTGGCCACTTATGTTCTACCCAAACAGACAGGGATACGGCACTGCTGTGCACTCCCGGAGTAGCTGCTGAAGTGCAGGCACATGAGAATGTAGTGTCATTATCCTCCAATCATGACAGACTCAGAAGCGAAAATGACTGCACTCACATTACTGTCAAAAGCAAAAAAATAATTAATTAATTTAAAAATTGTTTTTTCCTTTAACCTTTCAGTTTAATTATTTACAATAATATTGAAAAATGTTCAGGGAGAAATTATTTTTGAGATGACAATGTCGCTAATTGTGCACACAGATTCAAGCATGAATGAAAAGACAAGCAATACGTTCATGGGAGAAAAATCAAGTTACGTACCCCTCTATGTGGTGGGCCACTTCTTCGTTCATGGGCAAAACTGCGGCCCTCCTCATAGTCTCTGTAGTCAACATGGCTATAATCATCATATCTACTGTAACTTCCTTCTGCAGGTCTATCTAGTAGTGGTGGTTTCTTGGGTGCAACATTAACTACTCTATGGTAGTCATCCTAAAAATACAAAAGAAATATAATTTTCACAACAGACTTCCAGTAGTAAAACACAAAAGTTAAAAAAGAGGGGGAGGGGTGGGAGTACATGAATGTGGTTATTCCAAAAACTACTGAATGGCAACATTCTTAAAAAGGCTACATACTTAAGTGTGGAGAAAACATGAAAGAAAAGCAGCAAGTAAGTCTGATGATGGATAACACATTACATTTATATGGTGTCTAATCTGATGTAGCATCCCAGCCATCTTGTGTTTATAGGGAAATGTCACAAAAGTAATCTGTGAGTAGTCTTTAAAACCCTAAAAATCAGGTCTCAATTTTTTTTAAAAATTACTCCAGTTTATATTTCTTATATGCTTTGACACCAATTTCAGAAATGACGGCAATAAAGAAAATTATCTTCTGCAATGCCTCACAAATAAGGGCATGTCGATAAATGTAATTTATTATTTGAATGCCAATAGTGTACTCAAAATACAGAACATAGAGGAGGTAGTGCTTGCTCAAAAGAGATCAATCTGAATAGAGAAGTAATACAATTCTGACACAATGCAGTAGATCACCAGAGGATGCATTCAAGTGAGTGTTTTAATGCTTGCATTTTTGTTTTATTTTTTCTAAATAAGTTGTAACACTGACAATGGATTTAAAGTGAACAGTGTCTTATCTCTGTTTTGTTGGAATGTATAATTCTTCCATTACAATTCCTTCAGAATAAAACTTAATATACCAGTTATCAATTCAAGAGATGTCCACCCCTCAAGTGTGGTTTAGACTGGCTGGATCACTTTGTTCCCCTTAGGTTAAACAAGTTTTTTTTTTTTGTTTGTGTCATGATGCATGGATCTTGAATCCAGGCCCGCAAGGTCTATGAGAGCAGCCACGCTCCAATCTTCCACCCAGCAGCCTGCTGGCAATAGCTTGCCTGAAACCCATGAAGCCCAGTCCCAGTGTGAGGCTCCGCCCTTGTGTGCCGATTGGCAGAGTCCCAGAGTGGTTGACTGGCCCTACTTAAGCCAGAAGTAGGAACAGGAAGCTGCCCAAACAACTGGGCTCCACCCTGCTCTGGACAGTGTGTCTTGTACTTCCCGGCCCTGCTACCTATAGGTACTGACTCGGTGGGAAAAAATAGGGGGTGTTCAGCACCCACAGGGCCGGATTAATCTTTTATGGGCCCCGCCCCCCACTCAGCCTCTTCCCCCCGAGGCCCCGCCCACCGCTCGGCCTCTTCCAGAGGCCCCGCCTGCCGCTCCTTCCCGTCCCCACTTGACCTCTTGGACTTTTTCAAGTTGTAGTCACAATCTAATGCTTTGAAACTTTCAGCAGGAAGAGGTATATTAGGGTCACAGACTGTTAATATATTATAAATAAACTTGCTGACGGCCCAGCAAGTTTCCTAAAGATCAACTACAGACACCTAATGAAAAAAATAAAATCTCACTCCATAGACTAGATACAATGTAGAGGCCACACGTATACAAAATATCACAGGGCTTGATGAACCACTGAAGGCAAACTATCTCTACCATTCCTAACATATACATTAGGCTTATGATTTGGTGGCCCTGAAAGAACATATGGTCTGAAGCTATGTTAGAAGTATTCACTCTCCCACTCCACCCAAAAGATTAAATCACAAAACTGTACCAATGACATATAGAAAACACTATTTTAAAGTGTTCCAACAGTAAGAATATTGTAAAGGTGTGAACAATATTGTGCAGAGTACGGGCAACCCTACAAAATCCTACCGTCTGGCATTTTATCATTTGCCAACATCTGAAATCTCATTCTACAATAGACTTTATTTTGATATGTTACGTTCAGTTTCAGGACCAAGCTTCAGGCTCCTGTTCTCTGGAATAGTAGAGACAAGACACACACAGATATGCCAGTCATTAAAAATTGACATGAATATTATTCCTGGGCTGGAATATTTTATCTCCTTATCGTCTGCCATGAAGACTGATAATTATGAATGTACTAATGATATTTTACATGACCATCCAAAAACAAAATTAAAAAATACTCCTTGCCCTGAGCAAGTAGAATTTTGCAAGTCTGGATGTGACACTCAGTGGTGATGAAGGAAATTGCCTTTCAGTAGCTACCTCAAAGCAACAGAGCAGAACCAGAAGAAGCCACACATCCTAGCTTCATAGTATAATAAATTGAGATTGACAAACCAAAGTTTTGCCATTAATTTTTTTGGGAGGTATATCAGTAGACTCTACTGGTCATGCCATTCTATTTTGATGTTATTTGGAATATAAACCTACAGTTGGGGTACTTGGTTCAGTCTCTCTTGTATGATAATATTATTATACCACTTCAATGCTCAGAGATTTTTCCTTTATAGCTAACCTTAAGCATAAACCTCCATAATGTGTATGCTATACTTGTTTCCTAGAGAGTTTGAAGGACTAATAGAATTTAAGAATTTATTGCTGTAATGGTTAAGTTAGCAAATTGTTAGACAAACCAAATGTTACTTTGTTTAAAAAAAATCTAATATCTGTAAAAGTCCATCTGCCTTTTCTTTTGTTCTATTGCTGATAAGACTACTTGAGGAGCAACTGAGTATCTGACTAGATACCCTGTTCAAACTTATCTGGTTTCCAGTTTGTTGAAAATGGAGAAATTTTGCTGACTCCTGTAAAGAAAGTTAAAACATCACACAACAGCCAAAACACCAATACACTGATCAACAGAAAGAGAGAACCATATACACCTTGTGACACTAGTTACCAATACCAGTAAGTTACAAAAGGTGCAGGCTGAGAATATGTGATGGGAGGGTGAAATAAGATAAAAGGTAGCCCAGGTCAACTGAACAACCACTAAATCTCCAAGATTCACTAAGAAGGGGGGGAGGACATAAAGTAGACAGCAGAGACTGATACCTGAGGTTTTATGTTGCCAAATACATACTGTGTACCCTGTAATCAGAATAATTTAGAAAATGTTCTTTAAATTCTATTTAACTGCAAGAGCTCAAAACCTAAATTTAAGAGTGATTTTGATTTCTCTCTTCTCCAGATATTCAGATATAGAAGAAAATAGTTTACCTACTTTGTTCTTTTTTGTAGAGTTTTGTAAATGTTTGTGTTTACTTTTAGAGACCTAAAATAGGTAGCTGAAATTCTAATTTTAGAGCTGAGTACAAAATGAGTTTTGCAAACAGACTACATGTCATTAACTATACTGTTTCCTTTGTAATTAATGTCCCAATAAGTATCTAATAGGCAGCTGCTGCTAATTTGTATTTTCAATACTTAATGTTTAAACTTTTGCTTAAATCTTTGCATCCAGCAACAGCATTGTTTCTTACTGCTCTACATAAGCCCTTGAGTTCACAATCTCAGCCTCTCAGTCCAGTTTTAAAATTTGATAGAGAAAGCAAAAAAACTCCAATCAACCAACCAACCAAACAAAAAAACAATTATTTCCAGCAAATTGTTTAGCCTCAATAAAACCTGGAAGAATCTGAATGGTCCATGTTTAACTGCATACAAAATATACTGAACACTTATGTACAGCAGATTATCTACTTGAAGTACTTCCCAGGGAATATCACCCTGATTCTATACAAAGAGCCATGTTGGCAGACTCTATCATCCATGTGGAGTCCAGTTAACTTCATGGGACTCACAAATTCACAAGGTCTGCCCAAGCAGATCCATTTGCAGGATCAGTACCTTAAATGTTAGTCCACAATATGATCTCTGAAAATGGAATTAAATGATAAGAAAAAAATTTAATGAAAAGATTCAGGCTTTAATAAGTACTATTTTTAAAAAAGTACAAGCCCCATATTTAAACAATATAGCATATACTTACGTCAGAATGAATTCTTGGTGGGAGTCGTTCTCTTGGAAGTCTTTCATACTCATATCGTCCTTCAGACCACATTTCATCTCTTCTATATGCCACTAAAGATAAAAATTCAAGCAGACAAAAATATACGTGTTATGCACAGGTAAGAAGCAAGAAGTATCAAAATAAGAAGTCTCCTATTTGTCCTAATATAACATATTATGCACAGAAAGAAAAAGCACTACATTCTTTTTGAAAGGGCTTAATGAACACTGGACACTGTCCAGCTAAAAAAATGAAAAGGAGTATTGTCTATTGTTTCATAAAAAAGTATTAGACTGGAAATCTGATGATATCATTGCTCTAAGCCTCCAAAATACGAGACTGTAAACTATTTTGAAAACTTGGTAAATATGAATATTTTCATAAAAGTTTGATATACCAGCCTGTTAAAAACCCAATTATTTACTATTCTGACAACCATTTACTTTCTCCATACCTGAACTGTGAATGTTGCAATTTGGAACGAAAATAGTCTTTACTGAGACTAAGGCCTTTGCTAGGCTGAAAAAAATCTTGGTTTGACTTTTATAAAGTTGTGCATTGTGCAGTTCAAAAAAGACCCATTGCATGTGTAGCAATAATTAGGAATGAGTACATGTTGATTCAATTAAATTATAGGGCTTATTCATGTGATGCACAGGATAGCAGCACTAGGGTGGCCAACTTTCTAATGTCTGAAAACCGGACCTTCTGCCCCGCCTCTTGCCCCGAGGCTCTGCCCACAGCTCCACCTCTTCATGAGGCCTCGCCCACTGCTCCACCTCTTCACACAAGGCCCCATCCCCTGCTTGCTCCTCTTCCCCCCACTCCTCCTGTCGCTCACTGCTCTCCCCGTCAACTCCAGTGTGAGCAGCCCCAAGGGACTTGCAAACCCCAGCTGCAGCAAGCCGCCTGGAAGTGAAGGTCAGAAGAGCGCTGTGGCTGCACAGGAGCAGCCAGGCAGCCCCATGCCTCCCTCTGCGCTGCCTGCCCAGCAGCCCCCTTCCCCGCCTGCTTGAGCCCTCCCCACCCCAAAGCTGCCTGAGACCGTAGCCAGGGGAAGCGGCATCTGGCAGGGCAGCTTGCATACCTTCCTTCCTGGGGAATGTTCCATGCCCACTGAGAGCCCTTACACCACTCGCCATAGGTCCCCGCTCTCTGTCTTCCACCGCAGCCCTGGAAACTGCACTCCTCAGAGGGGCCGCCTGCAGCCCGAGCTAGTGCATGTGTGCTGATGCAGGAGCTGCACTTCAGGCCCTGGCAACAGGCGGTCACTCCAGCGGTAACCAGACTTTTAGTATCCAGTCAGTACATCTGACCGGACACTGCCAGTTTCCCTGTTCAACCATACTTTCGAAGACGGGACACCTAGGAACCCTAAGCAGCACCAGTCCACTATACACAGCTTACAATCTCCACTTGTACAAAAGCCTTCCCCACCAACCCTGCACACAAATGTTACTGCAACATTAATATTGCACAGTTAAAATCACAGCCAGGAAATGCAAAAAAAAAAAAAAAAAAAAA